CCCCCCCCCCCCTCCCATCACCCTCTTAATGTACCTAACTAACGCGCAGTAGCAGCGGTCAAGAAAAATAAGCACACTTAAACGAAAAAAAAATGGGAAAAAAAATTATGTAATAAAATTACCAAAAAAACCCTCACTTTTTCTTCTCGGTGTATATAATCAAACAAATGCAATCGCGTAGTTCAAATTGAAAAGAGGAATAATACGATTTAATACATTTTCACACGACACAGACAGTTTACGGGAAATTATCTCAGAACGAGTTGCAATTGATTGGCGAATTGACGTGAACATAACATGCGCTAAAACAGACATTAGACGATTATAATTGTGAGATGGAGGAGAAAGTATTGGAGGAATTATTGACAATGATTAAATTTTGCATTGTGGGTACTAATTTTTTTTGGAAATGGTGCAGTGGTAAAGTGGTCAAGTGGATTTTAGTAGCGAAACGGTAAACCGTGTCAAGTCGATTTTTACTTTTGGCCAGTTTTTGATGAATATCTCGGAATCTAACAGAGATAGCCAAATTTTTCTCATGACCTTTTTTGTAGAGCCAATTGAGGGTTATAAAAAAGGTCGTGACAAAAAATTTTCTATCTGTTTTAGATTCCGAGATATTCGTCAAAAACTGCCCAATAGTCAAAATCGACTTGACCCGGTTTATCGCTTCGTCACTGATTTTTCGTGAGGAATTATTTTTATTTGGGAATGAAAAATTGTCTTCTGACATTTTGTTGTAAATTCTCTTATTACGAAGTCAATTAGATAATTAATTAAATGAGTCGAGTCGAATAATGAGGCATTGTCGATTAATTTTTAATCTCAAGAGATGTTTTCGAGAGAATTTTCATTTTGACACTTGACACTTGTTTTCGAAATGACTTAGAAATTAATATTACATTACATTTCACCACTTCACTACTGAGGTATTCATTTCACGTTTTTATTTCTTCACATACTTTATTATTTCCACGGAAATAAAATGAAGAGAGGAATAAAATAATTTTATACATTTTCACACGACACAGATAGTTTACGAAAAATTATCTCAGAACGAGTTGCGATGGATTGGCGAATTGACGTGGACATTACACTCGCAAAAACACTCCTTAGACGATTGCAGTGCTACTTTTCTCTGGAAATGGTACAGCTGTAAAGTGGTCAAGTGGATTTTTCGTGTGAAATTATCTTCATTTCGGAGAACGAAAAATTGCCTTCTGACGTTTTGTTGTAAATTCTCTAATTACGAAGTCAATTAGACAATTCATTAAATGAGTCGAGTCGAACAGTGAACCATCTTCGATGAATTTTCTTCACCGAGGAAAAAGATCTCTCGAAATTGTCTTCAAAATGAATTAAAAATTAATACTGCATTACATTTTACCACTCCACTACCGAAGTATTAATTCCACATTTCTATTTCATCACACATTTTCTTATATCCACGAAAACAAATACACAGAGGACAGTAACACGTAGTAAATTGCGCAATTTCATTATCACAAATAAGCAATTATACACAATTTAACGAAAAAAAAAGATTAGAGTGAAGATGAAAAGCAAAAAAGGTAAAAAAACAAAGTAATCTCCACATATATATACACATATATATATTTATTTTTTTGGTCTCCTTTTTGTATATAATGCTCGCCGCCGTAGAAAATGGCTGGCATAATTACATAGGAACGAAAAATGGGGATAATTAAGTCGCAGTTTTCGAAGTCACGCGAAAAATTCAAGCGCGAGATTTTCGATGGAAATAAAAATAACACATGTAACGTCACCCTTGAACTCTCCTCCCGCCTGATTGAGCCGAATTGAGTGCGCTCGGTTCGATGGAAATAAAAATGTTATATAGGCAAATTTTCGGTACAGTAGATAAAGTAATGAACTCAATTAAACGGAAAATATATATTAAATAGGTGAATAAATGAGGGATGTGTTTATAGACGTTCTCGGGGATTCTGTTGAGTATTTTTTTATTACCGGGGTAGGAGGAACGATTGGACTAGTGCGCTCACTCGAGAATTACGAAGGGAGTGATAACTGATCAAGTCAATTTGATTTTTCGGAAATATTTCGAATCTGAGGGAAGAGTAAAATTTTTAGTTGAAAAACTGCGGAAAATTCTGTTGGTAAACCCCAAGATTTTTGAATAAATATCTCTGAACCTGAGGAAGATAGCGAAATCTTTAGAAACGTTTCTCGATTATTTGCATTAAGACTTTGTCTGCTTAAATTGTCATTCTCACATTCTAATTACACGATATAAATATTTTATTCAAATAAATTGAAATGCACCAATCCAGTATGATCTTCACATTGTGTCATTCAAAAGAAGAAATATTTAGTTTCTTGTGTAATTCGATAGTGAATTTCGCACACTTGAATGATCGATGTCTATTTGGAATGGTGCAAACAATTTAGTAGAATTCAATACGTAAATCTGTAGCGCAGCGGTGAAACGGTTTGAGTCGATTTTGACTACTGCCCAGTTTTCAATGAATATCTCGGAATCTGAGCCAGATAGCAAAATTTTTGTCGGAACCTTTTTTATAGCTCACAATTCGCGCTACAAAAAAGGTTCCGACAAAAATTTAGCTATCTGGCTTAGATTCCGAGATATTTCTCGAAAACTGGACTAAGAGCTGAGTCGACGTGACCTATTGAACAGACTCACTGTTCCCCACTCTTCACCATTTTGAGGTAGTGTGGGTGCGCAGCCGGGTCTTTCTTATGGCGTTCTAATCACCCAGGCGCTCCCCACCTTTCTCACACCGATACGTTTCGTGACTTACGCTGTTCATACCACGTATGGACCTTTCCGTGATTAATAAAAATTAATTATCTTCCATACTATTGGAGATATCGACATTCTAAAAATTTCCCCATGAAATAGATGAAATTATGAACACAATGCGACTCGATTTTTCTTTTTCAATTTGTAAAAAATATTTTTTTTCAATACATAAACATTACGGAACTGAATTCGATATCGGACGCATATTCAAACCTCTCGTTTATCGAGCTAATTTTCATAAAAAATTCTGAAATTTTTACTGAATATACTCTACGAATTCCTTCGTCGAATCGCGCAAACTAAATTTCGATACAATGAATTACTGATTTGTTATTAACAAATTTCCGACAATCGCCAATCTTAACAGCCGTTTATTCTAAGTGAGATTGGTCTTAAAAATTCCAGAAAAATCTGTACAAAGAAATACCGTAATTGAACAACTTCTTGGTGAAAGCTCAAGGTTATCAGTAAATTTTCGTTCATAATTTTTTGATCATTACTATAAAAGTTCAGTAGCGAAACGGCAAAACGCTTGAATTTGATTTTGGTCATTGGTCAGTTTTTACTGAATATCTCGGAATCTAAGCCAGCTAGCAACATTTTCGTTATGACCTTGTTTGTAGAATAAATTGAGAACTACAAAAAAGCTACTTATGAAAATTTCGCTATCTCCCTTAGATTCCGAGATATTCCTCAAAACTCATTGTCAGCCGAGAGCCAAGTCGACTTGGACCGTTTTGCCGCTTCGCTACTGAGTCGTCCAGTATTGAACAGCGAATTCGAGTTGACGGGAGGGTTAAACAGTGTAACCGCCTCTCTACGGAAATCCTGTAATTAAAATGTGGGAATTAAAATCTCCGCAACTAAATTAAATTCCACCCCAAAAATTGAATACTTTCTCCTAATTTCCGTACGAGTTTCCCCTCTGAACGTTGCAATACAAACTCAATAAAAAACATTTGGGACAACGTGTCGTCAGACCTAGTTAGTGCAATTTCAAAGGCAAATGTGAATTTTTTAGATAAAAATGAATATTGAATAATGCGGGTATCAATTAACTACCCTAAAATCAATAGGACCTTTGGAGAAAAACCGTTCGCGGATGAAAATTTATAAATATATATATTGTATATGTAATATAAATATAAATCAATTCATACAATTTTTAGATATAAAGTAATAGTTTGCGCATAACGAGAACTTTTTGTCCATAAAGAAATAAATTTTTAAATGAATAAAATATCTCAAAAACGGAGATTTTGAAGTACCGAGAATGTATTTCAACGCACGTTCACACATTTACATAAAAAACGATACAATTTTGAGTGCATGACTGCATGCAATCATATACGAAAGAGGTAAATGAATTAAAATAGAAGAATCCGTACACAGCGCCTGTGCGTTTTTAGAGTTTAAATAAACAAAACAGAATAAAAGTAATAATTGTAATAGCAAAGATCGTAATTTTTCGGCCATTGGGTATGTGTAGCTTAATGTCTATCCTGCTCTGTGTCATCAAGATGTTTTTTCGTGTCGTAATAATGCTCAGTCGAAATGAAAAACTATTTAAAAAACAGCAATTCATTGTCTTGAATGCCAGGTCGCGCGCGATACTGCATTCAGTCGGTGTGAAATCCCTCGTTAGGATGAAACCCACAGTCCGATGTGTAGAATTATATTTTTATAGTAGTACATAAAACTTTTAACGGAATGGTATTGCACATGTCGTAAAGCTACTGGAAAATGACTAAAGTGTCGGGACATTTGGGGTAATTAAAACTCTCGGGACAGTGGACACTTGATGATGATTACAGCAATTGCGGGGGAATGGGATGAATGGGGAGAAAAGGACTTGATGATGGTCACAACTGGGAAGTTGCGGGGAAATTTTCCCTGAACTTTTTTTTTCAAGTAATTTTGCTGCTGCTCATAAACTCGTGGGAATTGTTGAAGTGGTACGGGACGGAAAATCAGGGGAGTTTTTTGGATCTGAGGGGTGGAGAGGTGCAGCGTATTTTCGTTCTCAA